GTTAGGGAAAATTCACCTTACAAAATAACGCATGCAAAATCAGCAACTTTTCAGTAAGAATTCATATACATATACTATATATAAGTATAAGTTCGGTATAAACTTACAGTGTTTTATTATAAACAACCGAACGTGGTAACATCCAATTCCAACCAACAATAGCATTAAACCTTCAGAGGCTCTAAATAGCCTTAAAACAGCCCCTGGACTAAACATTTCAAGTATCAATAACCAACTATATCCCAACCTCAAGTTATACACTTTAGATCTTGATTATCCTATTTACACTTTCTTATACAGCACTCTGTTCAACCCCTGTTTTACCACACTTAGACTCTGATTTAGCCATTGATCTGAAAATACTAAATAAAGTATCCTCTTAAAGATTTCTAATGAAACTGACCTCACATTTTTTGTTGGGACTTCCACTTCATCGTTCCCCCAAGTTGGTCAAATCCGCGATTCTTAAACCCAACGCTCCTGTAGCAATGCAGGAGCATCCCACATCGGTGAGGCTAGGGGGATTCGCCTTCCTTATAAGGAAGGGGGGATCTTACTCCTAACAGTGACGCGTTTTAAGGCCGTGAGGGGTTGTTGCCGGGAGGGGCAGCCCAAAGCGGACAATATCATGTGGGCGGTTCCCTAGTATCGGTCAAACAATTGGTATCAGAGCTAGGGCCGCGCCAATGTGGGGGGGGAAATGTTGGGACTTCCGCCTCATCGTTTTCTCGAGCCGGTCAAATCCGCGATTCTTAAACCCAACGCTCATGTAGCAATGCAGGAGCCTCCCACATCGATGAGGCTAGGGGGATTCGTCTTCCTTATAAGGAAGGGGGGATCTTACTCCTACCAGTGATGCATTTTAAAGCCGTGAGGGGTTGTTGCCGGGAGGGGCAGCCCAAAGCGGACAATATTATGTGGGCGGTTCCCTAGTATCGGTCCAACAATTTTAAGATTTTTCTGTGATTTGTTATGAATTTTTAACACAGCAACATCAAAGCTGTCAAAATC